TCAGAGAGGTAAAGCACACTGATTTATTCTTTTTAATCATTTCTGTTGCTGCACTCCTCCACCATTCTCTGTGTTGCTTTGCAGATTGATGCCATGTGCTCATCCTACCTCTCTGAAGACCTGAGGTTTTTGGTGAGTTTAATCCTAAACAAGTAAAATGATATAGTTTATTTAGACATATATATATATATATACATATGTATAGTTTAATAACTTGAAACATTTAAACAACTCTCTGGTCTCTTTCCAGGCATCTGATGTCTTAGGAGAACTCTGTGTGTTGATGCTGGTTCAGAAATCAAAGGTACCTCAGAGTTGTTTACTTGAAAAGTAACATGAAACACTTGTTTTGCAGAATTTGGTACACAACATTAAAACATTAATTATGGCATTATGACAGAATTCCCAAAGAACGACCAAACCATAACTCAGAGAATTCACAGTATGAAGACTTTGGACTAAGATACCCTGCTTTCCCTATCCAATGCAAAACACTATGAAAACTATACGTGGAACTATAAAGACACAAATACTGTGCAACAGTCATAATTTTAAAAGGATCTATTTTGCTCTTTCTCCAGTCTGATGTCTTTAATCTTGGACTCTACAAGAGCAGCTTTGCATAATTCATAATTTAAAAGGATGTTATACTTGGATTTGGTGCTGGCTCACAAGCAGTTTCATATTCCACCGCCTTCCTGTTTATCGAGATCTTTCTGATTGGCTGCTCCTCGTAAGCAACATGTGAACAGCATGTGGGTGGAGCTTCAGTGCTCACAGCTACAAACGCATGAGATGACCCTCCCACTAACATCATACAATGTCAACGGTAAAAAAAAAAAAAAAAGACATGCAAAAGACCAAAGACTAATTTAGTTGTCAATATTTCATTGTGTGTTCAGGAGCTGAATGTGAGAGAAAATAGCAAAAGGGTAAGTAAATGTTTTCTCACACTTTAATGCTTTGCCTTATATGGCTATCATTATAGAGTAAACATTGCATGTGTTGTGCTGGTTTTTGAGTGGGTTTGGTTGTTATTTTTGTTATTTTTTATATATATATTCCTGCCCTCTATGTGCAGTTTTTGTTTCATTACTCTAGACCACAAGGTTCTGTCTTGTCAAAGGGAGGGGTAAGTTAAAAGATTGAACTGGATTGCTGCAGAATGCTGCTTGACCTAAAAAAAACCACCTCTTTTGTTTTACAACTGAATCTGCACTTCTTGTTGTGACACCTCTTAATTTAGGCCTATCAGAGCTATTAACACCAGCAATTAAAAGTAACTGCACGTCATGCCCCTAACCACAAATGCATGCCAGACCAACACTTGGAAATGTAAACATGCACGGTCCTAATATATCTAAATATGTACATATGTATGATAAAATTTTGCCCTGTGTTTGCTCTGCATGTGAAATACCTATAGATCATAGATTAGTAGGAGGCTGTGCTTCATGATCGCACGAGAACCTGGATGTATTAGGGTTAGCGATCCTTCCTGTCTGCCCTTCATACCTGACACCTCACACAAATGTTGTGTCAAAAGCAAAGGGGATTGTGTCTGAAGTTGCAGATGATATTTTAGCGCACAATTTTATACTTAACTATAAGGAAAATATGTCATTATTTATTTGTTTGTATGTTTGTTTTTGATGAAGATGAATCCTTGTTCATGTTGTTTCTGTATGCAAAAGACTT